TTTCTCTAAAATTAGAAGAAAAGTGAATGAAAAATTAATTATTTGTATTGAGATATATCTTATTTGTCTATGTATTTTATGTATACATTAATTTCATATAAAAATACAATGGTAAAATATGTATATATATTTTAAAATTTTAATTTTAAAAAAATAAAAAAAATTTAAATTTAAAAAAAAAAAATTCCTCTTAACTAAGGGTACAAATTTTCGACTCAACATGATAACACGACTCGACACGACACAATTAGTTAAATAAATAAAGTTATGTTTAACTAATATACGACACAAACTCGTAATGACTCAATACGAATCTTACACGACACGACTTGATTTTATTGTCACCCTTAATCTTAGCCAGCAAAAAAAAAAATAGTCATTTTTATTTTTCATCTATTCAACCAAACACAAAAGAAGGAAAGTGTATCCTTTCTATTTTTTATTTTTGAATGATATAAAATGTATTTCTTCAATTTTTTATGTTTTGTATCAGACGGGACATTAGTCTTTTTTTGTTTTGAACAAAATGATGTGCCTGATTACTGACAAAAGCCTCCTGGATTCGTGTAATATCCCACTAGTCACATGAGTCAATTAAATCACAGAACAGGGCTTAATTGACTCGTGTGGTGGCCCAAACCAGTCAATTAAATCACATGGCTTACGTTTTGAGAGTTTCCCCAAAGATTTGATGTGTTGATTGTTGTCAAAAAAAGTCTTTATCATTTGAATTGACCGTTATTATTACATCCACATATCCTGTTTTAACTATTATTATAATTATATATTCTGTTCATTCAAAAGTCTCAAAATTTTAATAACACCAGTAAAACACGAAAACCGCATGAATTCAAAATATCATGGTGTTAATATTACACGTCATTAAAAATGAAACGTTAATGCTTTTTCTAGTATGACGAAAAAATAAAAGAAAAAAAAATTAAAAACATAAAAAGTTAGAAAGATAAATAAAATATTATTTTTAATAAGGAATGATGAAAAAGTGGATGAATTAATTTTATTTCTAACTCACCAAAATTAATTCTTCTAAAATCGAAAAGAAAGTTGATGAAAAGTTAATTATTTGTGTTGATATGTATTTTATTTGTCTATATATCTTTTGATATATATATATATATATATATATATAAATTTTATATAAAAAAATAATGATAAAATATGTATTTATATATATATTTTTTAAAAACTTTTAAAATAAATTTTTAAAAATTTCATATTAACTAAGGTTAAAAAATTTCAGCTCAACACAATGATATGACTCGAGCTCGACATAAATTTTATGACATAAACTTGATTATATCTCAACACAAGCTTGAAAATGACCTGACATGCTAAAAAGANTATATATAAATTTTATATAAAAAAATAATGATAAAATATGTATTTATATATATATTTTTTAAAAACTTTTAAAATAAATTTTAAAAAATTTCATATTAACTAAAGTTAAAAAATTTCAGCTCAACACAATGATATGACTCGAGCTCGACATAAATTTTATGACATAAACTTGATTATATCTCAACACAAGCTTGAAAATGACCTGACATGCTAAAAAGAAATATAAAAGACTTATACTCAATTCAACCAGTCAAACTCAAAATTAACTTCATCAACCTGTTTATTTAAAAATAAACACTTTCTCTATTTTCTCGTTTGTATGGTAACATGAAATTAACATGTTTAACTAGTATTATAAGNTAAATTTTATGACATAAACTTGATTATATCTCAACACAAGCTTGAAAATGACCTGACATGCTAAAAAGAAATATAAAAGACTTATATTCAATTCAACCAGTCAAACTCAAAATTAACTTCATCAACCTGTTTATTTAAAAATAAACACTTTCTCTATTTTCTCGTTTGTATGGTAACATGAAATTAACATGTTTAACTAGTAGTATAAGCATAAAATATTAATTATCTGTAACTATTTATTAAGTACTGACATAATTATTATATATAAAAGATATTTTTATTTATTATTATTATTATATTTATTTGAGTTAATTTTTAGTTTGTAGAAAAAATATTAACATGTATTCAATTAAGTGAAAATATAATATTAGTGTTAAATTTTTGATTCAAAGTTTATGTAGGTAAACATGAATATGAATATGAACACGACACGAAAATAAACAACTCAACTTGTAATTCGACACAACNCAATTAAGTGAAAATATAATATTAGTGTTAAATTTTTGATTCAAAGTTTATGTAGGTCAACATGAATATGAATATGAACACGACACGAAAATAAACAACTCAACTTGTAATTCGACACAATACAATTAGTTAAATAAAGTTAAGTTAAGTTTGACTAATATTCGACACAAACTAATAATGACTCAACACGAATCTCACACGACTCGATTGTCACACCTAATCTTAGCCAGCATAAAAAAAACATTAGTTATTTTTATTTTACATTCATCCAATTAAACCCAAAGGAATGAAAGTGTATCATTCCTACTTTCCTTACTTGAATAATAAAAAATGTATCATTTCTACTTTCCATCCTTCCCACCAAAGGAAGCGTAAAACTCATTTGCAGCTATCAAAATTTTCTTCTTTTTATTAGTCCCTTTGTTCCATAATTAGAGACTTTCCTTCTCTTTTACATCTTGCAAAATTGTATTCTTATTCAAAACTATTAGGAAATCCGATTTCTCAGGATATCCGAAAGGTGTAGCCATCCGAATAAATCTAGTGAAGACGTGTTAATTAATAGTTTCTAGGATTAGACCTCTGTTTGGCTACTGGTTGACAGCCTGACCATAACCCAAACTGAATGTAACATAGATTAGTCAATAAAGGCATTTGAATGGACAATTATTATCCTTTCATTAAAAAGATAATGAAAATATGGATAAGGTTAGGGAACTGATGATTTCGATATTATATACTTTCATAAATTTCATTTATTGTTTTTGAATAGAATGATGTGCAATTATTGATTGATTCAATAATTCTTGATTGCTCTTGTCAATGTAACTGTGACCCTGATGAATTTTCATTTTTATTCCCACTTATTTTGACAAAGACATTGAAATGTCGGCTAAAATACACTTTCATAAACATAACTGCACATATATCTACATTGACTTCCCACAAACAACCCACAAGGGGCCGGCTTTACCTTAACCAAATCAAACATGAAACCAAAGAAAAAAAAAGGTATGAAAACATAGCAAATTTAAGGAACCACCTTGTCTTAATATGCAAGGTTGGTCTTTATTGTTACATTCATTTACACCGATGGCCCCATGGAAGAAATTTATGCTGTGGAACTTAGAGTGATAGCCAACCTATGTGAGGTCCAAAGAGCTTCGTGCCAACCTGCACCTCATATTCATTTCCGTTGCCCAACTTGTAAATTCTCATAGCATCGCCAACTTCAAGATTCTTTGCCACAGCAAAGGCGTGCCAGTCGAGCGTCAGAGACCGCCTCCCTCCTCTCCTCTCCGATGCTCGAAACTGATATGTTGTTCCAGCTCGATCACGTACAAGCATGAGCTCATCATCGATCGGCAAAAACGGTGACCCGTTAGGTATCTCTAAATTACGCTCAACATCTGAATTTGTGAGTATTTTTGTAAAGCACATAAATTTAGGTTCCATTTCTCACAAGTTCTCAACCTTGTAGAAAAGAAGATTGATTAGATTTAATTTGTGACTACGAAGAAGAAAGAAAAGGCACGAGCAGAGAATGAGGCCTAGTTCTCTTAGAGAAACATAAACTTCGTTTCTGCTCTCTCTCTCTCAATGTGCTTCATGGCTTCCCATTTGAATGGAATTTATGCTAGTCGATGAACTAAAAGTCAAAAGGGTAGGTTGGCTCACTTGGTCTCTTGAAGTCATTTTATGCACCCCACCAACTTAGAATTGTCGGCTTTGATTGAAGACATTTATTCAAATAAAATCATTTTATTCAAACAACCCC